TTTCCAGGCTCTGTATAAGCAGCTTAGGACCAGGACTTACCTTTCTCCCATATATTACTATCCAAATATTAAAACCATATATGAAAGTACTTCTCTGGGGACCAAAGGCACATAATGATGTGACAGACAGTTACCAGAGAGTGAAAGAAAGACTGTTCAGTAGTGGGCCCCAAGCCATAAGATACCCTCCCTAGATATCAGTCCTTATACTGAACAAATTTAGAAGCCAGGCTAAGACTTCCCTCTTCTAGCAGGCATTTCATTTTAAATTTTTTACTTTTATTATTAGTTCCATTGCTGCCTTTTAAAAATCCTAACCCTGAAATTGGCTGTATTATTGTTTACTTTAATATTTTATTCGTTGTTTTAGGGGTTTGTGCCCATAAAGAACTTTGGCAGTTGGGTGGCATATACACTGAATAAATAATTGAATAAATATAAGTTGACATATATCCAACTAAGATTAACATCAATTACTGTGGTTACACATGTACTGTAATATTCCCTCTCCCAGAATACCAGGCCAGCTTCATTGTCATCTTTTGGGACTCTGTTAGGGCATGTTCATCCTACTCAGTCTAATAATAATAATAATAATAATATTTATACCCTGCCCCTCTGCATAGCAATCGGGGCAGCTTCCAACATAAAACACAACACAATAAAATCAACCCCAAACCCAGCCCACCCACCCCTTAAAAATAATTAAACAATCATCAGTTAAAAACATTATTTAAGATTAGGGCAAAGTGCTGACAGAATACAACAGCTGAAACAGTGGCTGAAATGGGGGGCGGGAAGGAGGTGCAATTTGGAAGGCTCATATGACTAGGAAAAGTAGTCAGGAAAGGCCTGCCAGAGGAGATCCATCTTGACAGCCCTTTTAAAGCTGTCTAAGGTTGTGATACAACAAATCTAATCCGGCAGGCTATTCCATGGTCTGGGAGCGATCATCAAGAAGGCCCTCTGGGAAGTAGCTGACAGTCTAGATTTTTTCATCTGTAGCAAATTCATCCCAGAAGACTGAAGTGCACGGGGCGGATTATACAGGAGGAGGCGGTCTCAAAGGTAGGTTGGACCCAAGACATTTAGGGCTTTATCAGTAATAACCAACACCTTGTACTGGGCCTGGAAACTAATAGCCAGCCAGTGAAGAGACTTCAGTACAGGTGTTATATGGTCTTTTCTAGATGTACCTGAGACCAACTTGGCTGCCATATTTTGTACTAGTTGAAGTTTCCGGACCAAGCACGAGGATAGCCCCATGTAGAGCATGTTGCAGAAATCCAGAGCGTGTATCACCGTTTCAAGGTCCCTTACTTCCAGGAAAGGGCGCAGCTGGCATATCAGCCAAAGCTGATAACACGCACTCCTGGCTGTCGCATTCATCTGATTAATCATCTGAAGTGATGAATCTTCTAATGTTTTGGTATGCCATTACCATTATTACCATTACTCTCTCTATATGCTGCCTTTCCATGGTAAAACCAAGGTTAAAGCACCTCACATTGGAAAAAATATCCATAATGAAATACATTTCCTCAATAACACCAAGATTTAAATAGTTATAAAACAGGGTAGACATATATACTAAGATTAAACATACATCTCACATTACTAAATATGCACAATTTTAAATATTAAAATGGTCTGCTAAGCTAGTTAGATTGTACTGGCTTTTTAAACACTGTTTTGAAGAATTGTTTTAAGATGTTATTTTAGATTTATGATAATTCTTAGTTAATGATACCATAGCTAGTGGCCAAAGAATACTATCAATTGTTGGAAGTAAACTTGTTGTCCAGTGCAAGTTCCAGGTGATGACAGGTTATCTAATCAGAAAAGCAAGAATAGAAAGAAACTCACCTAACAGGGATTGAGGTGAAAGGCCTTTTGTATATATCTGACAATTTCTCCAGTACAACTGCTGCAGTAGTAAATATGCGATAAGTATGTAGGAAAGTGTTAAGGAAATCAATACTGAGAAATCGCAAGTCTGTTAATCTTTCCAAAAGGCGTTCAACACTTGCATAACGAATCTGGGGCACTTTGCAGGAATTTAATGTTTTGCTGAAACAGATGTCAGTGTCATCTTTGTGAAGACGAGCATCAGATCTACATAATAAATTATTTTAAAAGAGTTATTAAGCATTGCTTTAAAAGGGACATTTTGTTCTTAAAAATTGTGAAATCTTTCAGATATTACTGTAACTACATAGAATCATAGAGTTGGAAGAGACCACAAGGGCCATCCAGTCCAATCCCCTGCCATGCAGAAACTACCAATCAAAGCATGAAGATGCAATCTTGATTATATTTTTATAGAGCCAATGACTACACAAAGAAAGTAATCATCTCGCTAATAAATGAAGAAGAGCCAAATAGTTTCTTTAGGGGAACCAGAAAATGTTTTTGTAACATTCCTCAAACCACCAGGTCTTTCTAATAAGGATTAGTGTGGCTCATCACTTTCCTGTTTCTCCACTAGTGCCATATATGTGCCATTTGGAAATCAGTAATTCTTAACTTTTGCCTGAGTACTCCAGGTATGTAGGGAGGCAGGTTTCCTAAAAGCTATTCTAGAGCACATAGGTTTATCAGTTTGTCCCCAGCAAAAGGATATTGATTCTTAAAACATGTTGAGTGATATTTAATAATATACAGAAGCACACTGAAAACCACATTTCTCTTTTTTTATTTCCTTTGTTTCTAGTGTATTCCCACAGGTAGGCATCCGTCGGAAATGGGGACCAATTTTCATCCCTGCACACTGATAGGCCACGCTAACCTATTTTTCTATCTTACACAAGGCAATGTTTTTAAAATTTGGGTGAGATTGATCTGTGGACTTAGGCAATGTTGTGGGGGCTTGTGATGGCACATTTTCCCACCTTGCTCTATCAGAATAAGATCAGTTTTGAGAGGAAATCTTAGACAAGAATATATTAAATAGTATGTTCACTAAATACAGAGGGGGGTTGCAGACTGCCAGAAATAGTGCAAATTGAGTCCACTTTTAGGGTTAGGGTTAGTGCTAGGGAATCATGGGAATTGTTGTTTTTTTTCCTGAGACATTGAGCCTTCTCTGTCAGAGAGCTCTGGTGCCACAATAAAATACAGTTCCCATGATTCCCTAACCCTAATCCTAACCCTTAAAGTGGACGCAATTTGCACTATTTCTGGTAGTCTGCAACCCCCCATAGTTTGCTATAACGTTTTAGAAAAGAAAACCAATACTCATTCCAGTATATAAAACCTAGAGATCAAATAGTGTGTCATTTTCTCTATGAAACAGAGTATCCTGTAAAAGAAGATTGACTTGATCCCCTAATTTTGTATCTAAATAAAAATGCAACAAGCCTGAGTTTACATTATGCCTGCATGAAAACCTTGTCACACTTACTTGATCATATGTGGCACAGTGACTTTGGAGTTTTCTTCAAATACTATGGTCATTAAACCATTGCACCGTATGTTGTCAACACACTGCAAAGGTTAATAATGAAGAACAGCATTACAGAAATACATTTTTCCCAGAACCTGAAATGCCTGCAAACTTAGAAATCAAACATTTTATACTCACAGGAAATAAAAAGACAACTGGAATAAAAAAAAATAACGTTACCTAGGAAACAGAAAATACAGTGGACTGAACTGCAGGACAGGTTCAGTTAACACTATGTATATAGATTCAGTCATTGCAATTTACTATACTATTCCAAGATATATTTTGAGCATCTTCTGAACAAGTTTCAAAGGCTGCTCAAAGTATAATGTATTTCCTTCATAGGAAGCAATTGCTTCAATTACTACTGGGAAGCAATCATAGAATCATAGAATCATAGAATCATAGAGTTGGAAG